TCGGCTAGCGCGAACGTGGGTGGTTCCTCTGTACTGACAAGAAGCAGCTCTGGGTCATTGAGCAGCCATCCCACCAGGCCTGAGGGCCCTGTGCCGCTGACGATGTCATCCAGCCTATGGAACTGCACCTCCTCACCTTCGTGGAAGGCATCCACGAACTCAGTGATGTCGCTTGGAGGTGAGGTAAACTCGATCGGTGTCGATGGAGTTCCCTGTTCCACCGAAGTGATCGACACAGCACCTGGAGTGCTCGGCATCCCTCTCGGAGTGCTCGGCATCCCTCCCGGAGTGGTCGACACCCCTCCTGGAGTGCTTGGCACTGGTCTTGTAGTGGTCGGCACCACTGCAAGACCCCTCAGCTCCACTACGGGAATGTTCGGCACCCGTCCTAGAGTGGTTGACACCACTGCAGGACCTCTCGGCTCCACTCCTGGAGTGCTCGGCACCCCTCCCGGAGTGCTCGACACCTCCCCAGGAGTGCTCGGCTCTGTCGCTAGAGTGCTCGGCACCCCTCCTGGAGTGCTCGGCACCTCTTCTCCAGCATCTCCACCACCGTGGATGACCAAGTGCTCGACGACGAAGGTGCTGGTAAAGCCACCAGCTTCCCCCGTGCTCGGACTGTTCCAGTCCCAGGCTGCCTTTTCATCGAACACGACATCGTGCGAGACAAGCACCTTGCCTTCGCGTGGGTCGTAGAGCCGGTATGCCTTGGTACCTTTCGCGTAGCCTAGGAGCACCATCGGTGTACTCCTGTCCTCCGGCTTGGTGAGGACCGTCTTTGTCTTCCTGACGTGGCCGATGCAGCCGAATGTCCAGAGGAGGGACATGCTCGGCTTGCACCCATACCAAGCTTCGAACAGCATCTTGCCCTTTAGGGCCTTGGTGGGTGCTCGGTTGAGGATGAACACCGCCGTGGTCACCGCCTCACCCTAGAACCTTCCCGGCATGCCTTTGGCCTTCATCATGGATCGACCCATGCCGACCACCGTCTGGTTCCGCTGCTCCACCACGCCATTCTATTGTGGCGAGTATGACGTGGTGTGGTGTCGCACCACACCCTGATCCGCGCAGTACGCAGTGAACTCCACATTCACCACCGCGATCAATCCTCGGCACGCGCAGCTTCTTGCCACTCTCCGCCTCCGCATGCATCTTGAACTTCTTGATCACCGCCGCCGCTTCATGCTTGCTCGTCAGGAGTTGCAGCCACATATAGCGACTACAATCATCCATGAGCAAGAGGAAGTACCACCGACCACCGTTTGTGGCTAGCATGATTGGCCCGTAGAGATCGCCGTGGTCGAGCTCGAGAGCGTCCACAGCGCTATACTTGGCCGTCTTTGGGAATGACAGCCTCCTCTGCTTCCTAGCCTGGCAGCTGTCACACAGCTCGCTTGCGTGCTCAATGTGGAGCAGCCCTCAGACCATCTTCTCTAGCCGACCAAGCGTGTCGAAGCTGAGATGGCCGAATCGGGCATGCCACAGCCACGGCTCCTCGGTGTGCCGTGCCGCCAGGCACACCGGCTGCTCCACCTTCAAGTTGAGCAGGTATAGCAGGTTCTGGGACCTCTTCACCTTGGAAAGAAGGCGCTGCTCCCGGTCCCTGATCCTAAGGATGCCGTCCTTGATCAGTACCTCGCTACCGCGCTCATCCAGCTGGCCAATGCTGATGATGCTTGAACGTAGCTGTGGGATGTAATATACATCCGTTAGCGCGTGGTGCTCGTTGTTCTAGCACCTGAAGATGATGGTGCCTTGCCCTCAGATTGCCACCCTTGAGCTGTCACCAAACTTCATCGTGCCGGTCATGTAGTCATCGAGCTCAGAGAAGGCTGCCTTGGAGCCCGTCATGTGGTTGCTGGCGCTAGAGTCCAGGTACCATCGCTGCTCCTGCTCACCGCCCACACGTCCGAGATGGACTTGGGGCGCGTAGTTCATCGAGGTTGATAGCCTTCAGGGTCTTCCCAGGTCCTTCCACCGCCATCACCTCTCCCTCCTCCTCAGCCTTAACGTCGTGTAGTGCACCGAACATCACCATCAGGATAGTGGCCTCATCATCATCATCAGCCTGCGCCAGATGGGCCTCAGTTTTCTTCTCCTGCTTACGATTTGGGCACTCCTTTGCCCAATGACCTATCTTCCCGCAGCGCCAGTAGGCGTTGGGGTCGATCTTGTTCTTCTTCTCTGAAGAAGCCTTACCGCAGCGCTTGCCATCGCCATCGCGGCTGGAGGAGGCTGCCCCGGAGTTCCTCCGAGCAGCCCACTCTTCCTCTGTCAGCAGCAGCTTGCCATTGTTCTTCGTTGTTGTAGCCTACTCCATGTGCTCGTCCACCGCCCACAGATGACCTGTCACATCCTCAATGGTGAGGGTGGACAAGTCCAGCATCATCTCAATGGAGAGAGCGATCTGGATGTACTTCATCGGCACAGAGTAGAGGTACTTGGAGACCGCCTCCTCTTCATCGATGGTGATGTCATGGCTCCTCAGCTTGCTGATGAGCATCTGCAAGCGGAGGGAGAAGTCCTCCATCGATTCACCATCCTTGAACTTGAGGTTGGCGTACTCCTGCTTCAGAAGCTAGGCCATCGCCTTCTTTGCGCGGTTGGAACCGATGTGCATCGCCACAATGGCCTCCCACGCCTCCTTAGCAGAGCTCTTTGCCCCAACGGCTCCCTATACTCTACTAGTACAGCAGCGAGGATAGCCTCCAACGCTGACATGTCTTCTTCGTTGTCGGTGCCCTTGTCAACAGCATTCTAGAGCCGTCGGGCTCTGAGCTTGACCTTCATGGTCATCGCCCACTCGCCATAGTTGGTGCGAGTCAACTCCGACCAACTGGTGCCACTGACCACCCACACCGTGCGCACAACGACCTTCTGTCGCCATTTGGGTAGCCACAATGATTGCTTCAGCTTGTCGCCCATCTCCAAACCATTCATCATCGCTAGCGGTTAGTCCGGCGACGGTGCTTGTACGGCTCTGATACCACTTGTTGGCCCACAGGATCTCCGGCACGGGTGAGCCGATCACTCACCAGCGTTGCCAACCACGCACTATCGTTGCCAAACACACACTATGGATAGAAGTAGAAGAAGGGAGGGAGAACAGAGCATACACACACAACAGAGATACCAGCATTGGCCGGAGCTCTGTAGAGGAGATGGCAAAACTGAACTCGCTCTCTTTATTGAGTTACAGTGGTAGACTCTATATACAACTCTACCCATCTAATTCTGGTACACATACATGTCAGGCCATCATCTGCTATAGTGACTAGATGTGACAACAGGGTTGACTTTGGCGCTTGCCCCTGCTGTGGCTACAGTGCGGTAGGAGAGCTGTTTGGCGTCTGCCCCTGTTGTGGCTACAGTACCACAGCAGGGAGCCTTTTTGGCGCCGCCTTCCCTTGTCGCGCGTTCACACAGGGAAGTAACAGATTATTCAATAGAGTAGGAGTTGCTAATAATGCCATTCCGTAGCAACCCAAAATCAACAGTTTCAGAGGCCTGTGGCTCGATCCGGCGGGGTGTCTGTTTTCTATCGACACCGTGTGGAGAAGGCGCACTGGCTATATGATTCCACGTGGATTTGATGGTCTGAAACTCAAAACCATGTGTGACAGGTTTGTTGGATTTGGGCCTTAAAACCCAGGGAAGAATCTCGGGGCGACAGGTGGCGTCATCGGAGAGCTTGTGTCGAGACGAAGCGACTTCATGAAGGGTACGTGGCCATCCGATGCTTGAAAACCAAAATGGACCATTTTACCCCCGGTGGCTAAGTGATTCAGCCTAAACCTAGGCATACTCTTGGAATTATGTAACAACCCTATAAAGAAGGGTTGTGGCTGCCCCCGGTGGCTGCCCAAGACGTTTTTTTTTCATAGGCTAGCCACGTGCATCTTGTTTAGAGGAGATTAGAAGTAGATAGGGTGAGCACCTCTTGCTCTAGTTTTCTATGTCTACAGGGAGGATGAAAGGAGAAGGTTGACTTAATCTTGTAAAGAAGATTTCATGGCTATATAATCAAGTTGTTAGCAAAAATCCTGAGTTTCCTCTCCCCTTCCTATTTTCTTCTTATTGATGATTTTCATGGTTATTTTTGGGAGATTTTCGTGCTGCTTGTTTGGCTGATCTTTTGGCATGTTTTTCTAAGTCTTTGGGACCATTGGAACATATCGAAATCATATCTTGACGCCCAGCTTCACAGCTCTTGGTTCCGAGTCCCGAAAACTCCAATTCTCTCTGTTTTTTTTGGTGAAATTCTTAAGGATCTTCAAGCTGAGGTTTTTGGGCTGATCTCATGTGCTTTCTTGGTGCTATGAGGTCTTGGGAACATGCCTATGCTTTGCCTCAAATATATTTCCCATGAGCACCCCATCTCTTCCATTTCAAGAAAATCACGAAAACCCCGATTTGAGAGTTTATTTTTCAATCTGCTATCTAAGCTTTGATCTTTTGGAGGCGAAACTTTTTTTGGACACCTTCAAAACATCCTAAGGAAGGTGTGTGTACAAAATTTTAGATCATTTAGACGTCGTTTGATCAAGTTTTGCCTTTTTTTCCTTCTTGGTTTAGCCTGCTGAAAGCAATCAGCGCGGAACTTCCGTGTTTGAACGCAAAACTTCTGCGTTCAAGTGCAGAACTCCCGCGATATGCAGGCTGAAAATCGACTTCCGCTTGAGCGTTTGGACTTCATGGCACTTTTACAAGTCCTATAGCCTTCTCATGACTACCGGGATTTGATTTTGCTAGAAGAAAGGAAATTTTGAGAAGTTTGGGACATATGCCAAGTTCTTTCGAAGAATTTTTATTGGCTTCTGTTCACTCTACTCTGGTCGCCATTTCCCGGTCCTTCAATTATAATATGTTGCAAGAAGATGCCATGAATGTAGCTTAATTAGCAGGCCAGGCAAGCAAAATAACTTCACTCAGCTAGACCAATGAAAACTGAGGCAGCTTAGGATGAAGCCTGGCCTTGTCTTGTGCGGCTATCCAACAGATCACTTGGATTCAGAGCATCTACAATCTACAGGACTAGTAGCACTAGAATAGTTAGTGCCATTCTGCAGTAATCCAAAATCAACACTTTTTAGATGCCTGTGGCTGGATCCAGGGTGTTTGCTTTCTACTGATCCTGACATTGGACACATCCTGTAACATTGGAACATGCTCCTATGTTTTATATACTACTAGTAGTATTTGAAACTGTAAAAGTGTCACGCTAGATGGATTGTTCCCAGGTACGGATCCTAAACGGATTACGTCTACGACGCCGCAGCAAGTACACTCACCCTGGGAAGAAGAGGTAGGTGAACATGAACTGCAGGTACGTCTCCACGAATTCGCGCTTGTACCACCTCAGCCTCATCCAGTTCATGAGCAGCGGCTGCGCGCGCGCACACACACACAGACATGCACACTTGTTACTCACTCAGGGGCATGCAGTCCAAATGAAGTCGCTTTGAGAGGAAACCAAGAGCTGAGTAGCTGACGCACAGGGGCGACGAATAAGTAGAAGACGGCGAACGCCGCGATCGGCGGCAGGATCCCTAGGAGGTCGAGGTCCTCCTCCCCGGTCACCGTCGCCAGCGCCGCCGGCGCCTCAACCTACATACAGGCATACAGCATTTGCGATGTCACGTTCGATATGCTCGTGGTACCCAATCAAGCTGCAGGGTCGTGTGGAATTGAGCGAGAGACTCGTTGTACGTACAGCTGCCCAGACGGCGCCGCACTGCAACACCGCCGCCAGCCTCTGCAGCTGCGACGAGCTCTGCTGCACCGACGTCGTCGGCGCCGCTGACTGCGCGTTCGTCGTCCCAGAAGCAAACAGGGAACAAAACCAAGAGCATGGACGATCAGACACCGCGGACGGCAGGAATTGCAGTAGGCGAGATCGGTGGGGGTGAGAGGTAGCAACCAAACCAGGATTGCTAGCTATGGATGGACCTTGTCATGGAGGAGGCAGAGGAGCCTGAACTTGGCGCTGGAGCTGGCCGACTGCTGCGCCTGTAGTGGCGAGGCCGCGAAGGTCGCTTGCCGCTTGGGTAGCTTCTGCGGGCAGGGAGGCAGGGAGGAGGAGGCCGGGGAGAGGAGGCGCCATGAGGTGGCGGCGGTGTCCATCGGTGCGGTGGCCACGCGGAGGCGAAGGCTTTTCCTTCGGGACGGTTTGCACGGCAGCCGTGGCCCGTGGCGCGCGCGCCTTATCTGGAATTCTGGATAGATGACGGTTTGGGGTTATGTGGCACTCAAGAATTTGGCCTACCTCGACCGTTGGATAGGGATTCAATGGATGGAACCAGTTGACTTTACTGCGTCATACGTCTGTTTCGTCATCATCAGTCTTTAGTAGGCGGGCTGTCCATTCCATTCAGCATAGTATGGTTTTCCCACACCTGATGATTTACCTCCCGTACAAAAAATAAAAAAAGAGAGAAAACTAAGAAAAAAAACACACCCTTTGATCATGCTACGAGTAGTAAACGAGACGGCGTATGACTACGACGACGTACGGAGTATTCCCTGACCAAGGTTCAGAAACTACTCGGTCCGTCCAAACATAAATGCATGGCCTGTATTCCGAGAAGTTATTTTTTAAAAGTTTAACTAAATATATTAAAAAATATACTAAAATTTATCTTGTATAATAAATATCATTAGATTGAGCATGAAATGTACTTTTTGTTGACACCAAAATTTGGTTCAAGAAGAAGAGACCCCGAGGTCTAAGTTCATCAAAGGAAGGCCGAGATATTCAGCGACGATCAGCTAAACCAGGTCGTCATCAAATAAATAAGATGGCGTCATCGTTCCAAAGGAATGGGCCCTATCGGCAGGATCAGCAAGATATGAAGCAACAAGACGTGTCGGGCTCCGTAGAAAGAAAAGATTGGAGTCTAAATTATCTTAAATTAGAAAGCTTTGTTTTCTTTTCCAAGTTTTCGTAGCCGGTTTTGTTCGACCAAGAATCATAGTCAAGTCTCGGGTATAAATAGTGAACCCTGGCTATTGTAATAGACATATTTCATCGATCAACCAAACATGTACCTTTACTTTTCAGTTCAGGCCACCCCTTATGAGTAGGAGTAGAGTAGATTTCGGCGAGTTCAATGGGTAAGCAGGGCTGTATCGGACGACCTGACCTCCGGCGTGTTTGTGAGTATCCGTCACGACTTGTATTGTTACTTGTAAGGCTGCAACATACGACTGATCCCTTGCAAGTCGCAGTATAAGTTAGTTATTGATCTATATTATTATTTATAAGGCTGCGACAGATGACTGATCTCTTACAAATCGTGGTATAGATTAGTTATCAATTCGTATCAACCTTTACATCGCTGCAACAGACGACTGATCTCTTGTAAACGTTGGTATTGATCAAAGTTATCGATATTGTGTTAAATAGTTTATTGTTTAATACAATATCATCAATTGCACGATCTAGATTGAGATTTGTTAGTCTTAATATTTTGATCGATCGTCTGCTGATCACCATCACAGTTGAATTCAATTCTTGACGTTAGATCCTGTTTCGATGACTAATCTATCTCGATCCTGATCGTACATGGCGGGTGCTTGAAGTCATGTTCTGTTAAGAGATAGTTTCATTGGCCGTCGGTATCCGGTATGATCCCGCTATCAATGCTGTATCAGACCACTCGATCTGTTGATAGCGTGTCAGATTGGACATTGTTGGTTGATAGATCTATCTATTAAGAAGAGCATGGCGTCAGCCACCCGCTATGTCTCCATTGACTATTTAGCCGATGGCCTGAGCTTTCACGCGTATGACATGCTTTCATGATTTATTTGCGATATAAGTAGATTTATCGATAGCTGGTCTCTGATCTAGGGTCCTACTATCAACGCTGCATCAGACGATTCGACCTGTTGACGGTATAATAGATTGGGTCTAGTTGTATGTAGATTTATTTATATTCAACAGATGAGTGATCGTATGTCGTACGACACGACCACTGGAATCGGCTATCTTAGCCGATACCGTTTTCGCTTAGGATGTACTAGCTATTTACATGCTTTTACTTATTTTTTTGTCTTGGTTGAAAGCTAGTATGTCTATCACATGTATGCTTACACACCTATCCTTACATCTTTCACATGTTTTTATGATCATCGGCTAAGTTAGGTCCATGCAACTGAGTAAATTATAATTGCCAATATGCTTATTTTGCTTATCATGCATTGTGAACATGCTGGATATCGACTCTCTAGTCAATAGCCTTATTTCATCAGCTACTCAGCCGCATATTTAGAACTATCTAGACAAACACTAGCATGTTCTACCATAAATTACTGATCAATTTTCTCTCCCTGTCAATTGTAGGGTCAAATTGACTGGCACGCCCTCGGTCATAACCATCCAGTCCATTGTCCGCCTTAAGCTTGGAGAGAGCTCGGGATCTGCTCTGCGTGGTTTCTCTTGGCTTGCTGCGTGTTGGCGACTCCCCGTCACTTTTTGCCGTCAACACAGATTGGCACACCCGGTGGGACCATAATCGTCAACATGAACAATCAAGTAATCCTCAAGGTCAACCTTGAAGACCTGTCTGATGACCAGAAGGCACTCATTGAGCGGGCGGCGAAAAAATTTAGAGAAAAGTGTCTGCTGTCTTACAGCAAGACACGTGATTCACTCGTCTAGAAGACTCCCCTGCTAAGCATCCTGCTGCATGGACAAAGTGAAGATGTTGAAGCAAGGACTACTTCTCATTTGGTCCACATGACTATTCATGAAGCCTTTACAAACCACAGCAAGGTGTTGGCCAACACGATCGGTAATGTTTTGAAAGAAATCTTCTTTGGAGCGCTAGTTGATCAAGTTGGGCCAGCATACTCTAATGGCTTTAATCCTTCGGCTGTGGAAAGCAACATACCTGGTTCTAGTCAGCAGCCGAATGGTGGGCAGTTCCAACAGCCACCAATACAACAACTTCTAGAAGGATAGGTTCAAGATCAGACCCTGCAAACAGCAAGGGGCCAAGGTCGAGGTCTACCAGCCGTAGGGGGGCAAGGTCAAGCCCTACCAACGGCAGGGGGTAGGCTCAAATGATGGGGAGCAACCACCAGCACAGCAATCACCAAGTGCCCCTATCACACATTTAGTCCAGCGACCAACGTCTCCAGCTACTTAGCAGGTTGTGCAACGGCCGGCTTAGGGAAGATTCAATACTTTCTATCAAACGCCTCAGTCGGCCCATAAAATTGCCCCATCAGTACAGAGGATCATAAAAAATGTTGATCCTAACTACTTCAATAGTCGATTGCAGGGATACACGACTCATAATGCTCATATCGACTATTCAGAGGGGTACCACCTGGTTTTTGATGCCAGGACATATGAGCTCATGCCACATCCTGAGTATCAGAACCTGTACAGCTATAATGCACAACAACTCCAGCAGTCTCCGGCTCAGAATCAACAGGTTCATGTACAAGGATCTCAAGCTCATGCTCAAGGGCAGCCGAGACAAGAAGTTGCTGGCATGGATGCTGATGAGATCGTCAACAGAATCACTGCTATGATGCAGAGTCAGTTCGGTCTGAAGCCTAAAGGACAGGTTGGCTCTTACCAGCGCCCATACCCAGCCTGGTATGATATTATGCAACTCCTACAACGCTACAGAGTCCTAGATTTTTTTAAATTTACCGGGATAGATGAGATGACAACCATGGAACATATCATTCGCTATCTCGTTCAACTCGGAGATGCATCTGTTGAGGAAGCACATAAAGTTAGATTCTTCCCCTTGTTGCTATCTGGACCGGCCTTCAGTTGGTTTTCATCACTAGAATCAAACTCGATCACTGGATGGGCCGATCTAGAGAACAAGTTCCACGCATATTTCTACAGTGGGACGGGTAAGAAGATTACAGACTTGACAAGCATGAGGCAGAGGAACAATGAGTCAGGCTCTGAGTTCATTCAAAGATTCAGAGAAGGAGCCATTGCTACTCATTGAATCTGTCGGATGGCTAATTGGTTGAATTGGCCCTTCAAGGAATGTCTCCATTAATCAAAGTTTGATGGCTAGGAGTTTGAAAGCTTGGCCCATTTAGTTCAAAAAGTGTCTGCCTTTGAGAATCAGCATCGAGCCCTGCGCAAAGAGAAGTATTTAAAGGGTACCGCTGCAATGACTGACCCCTTGAAAGGATCTAACAACGCCTAGAGGGGGGTGAATAGGCGTATCTAAAAATTAACTATAAATGCTAAGTTCAAATTTGTCAGTCAATGTCGGAAGTCCCGACAGTTTGGGTCAGAACTCCCGATGTCGTCAGAAGTTTCGACACAAACGTCAGAAGTCCCGATGCCTACGTGAACTACAAAAGCAGTGCCAAATTTAACTTTGCGGATAAATAATCTTACAACCCCACTTCCTAATGGTTTGGTGAAGATGTTGGGCCACTCCCTTGACGCCAAAATGCCTCCAAACCATAGATCGAGTCCAAACCCTAAAATGAAGTATAAGCAAATACAAGTAATCTCGAGCAAACATAAGAACAAGCACACGTGACACAAAGATTTATCCCAAGGTTCGGCAACCCCACAAAGGAGCTCCTACGTCCTTGTTGTTGAGGTGACCACAAAGGTCGGAGTCTCTTTCACCTCCTTGCCTCTCTCAAAGCAACCACAAAGGTCACTTGAGCTTTCCACTAAGAAATCAAGGGTAATACAGACTTCCCAAGGCTCTTCCATAAGATGGAAGCTCTTGGGCAACGCCTAGCCGGCTAGGGGCAAAGCCCCAAGAGTAATAGACGCAAATCCAACCGGCTTGACGAAGAAATCAAGTGCTCAAGCTTGCCAAAGTGATTCTCTCACTTAATCCACTCTCCTTTCACTCAAAACCCTAGGGGAATCAAAGATTGAAGCAAAGGAGGGAGGTGAGGGGTGCCTTTGTTGCTTGGGAGCTGTTGAACACGAAGGTTGGTGAGCTGTGAATGAGTCCGTAACGGTTAGAAGTGAGGAGAGGGCTATTTATACTCACAGTAAAAATCTAACCATTCAGATCTACGTTGGAAGTTTTAACGCAGATCTCGGGACTTCCGACCTTAACAGAAAACACTGTTCACGCGGGGTCAAAAGTTAGCACGAGCAAGTCAATGTC